TTGGCAAATCCCAATGCAATTTCAAAACAGCCCTCTCTCCCTAACTAGGAGGATTAGAATTTTCGTGGTGGGTGGTGGACCGCTCCATCTATCTTACCTTAGTGAGCAAGTTCCATCTTTCCAAAAAGTAGTCTAGCCTAGTACTGCTTTTAGAAAGGAAGTCATCTGATTCCTCCTCCCAGTCAAGAGTAAAACGGTATAAAACCAATTTGATTAATAAACTCTTAACAACAATATCCCAAGTATTCTAAAAACAACCAATTTGATTCATTCTGTCCATTTGCACTCATCCCCTTGTTTTTATATTTTGATTTTTCTTTTGCTTACTCAATCACCAAAGTATAAAAGTAAAGGAAAAGGTATGCGAATGGATACAATGAGAACGTGAAAATCACTACCCTTTTTTGATACCTCGTCACGTGATCTTCACATCAGGAAGGAACATTTATAATGTTATTACCGCGAAGTAGGGAATCATGACATTCGTTGCTCTATATTCGTTGCAACACACATGGAATAACTGCCTTGACAAGTTTTTTTTATATTATTTATTATTTTTTTATTCTGCTAGAATTACCATGACAAGTTATTTACTCTGTGTGAGATGGACTCAAAGGCTAAGAATCTCTCACACCTCTGTCCTCTTCTCCTTTCTACATATAGTGGCTTCATGGGCTTAATGAATTTTCTTCTCACATAGCTAGCAGTTGGTGGTATCTGAGTGCTTACATTTCAAATTCAGGGTGAGACTCGTTCTCTCATTTGCATTAGCTTCTTTTTTTTTTCTTTTGGATTTTACTTTCACTTTAGTTCTTCACAGCTATTAATTTCAATTATTTTTCCCAGATACACAAGTTGCCGTCAATTAGTCAACATGGTTAAGACAGTTGAGTTGTATGGATTTTGCTCTGTTCAGTCCCCAGAAGCAGTGACAGAGTTTGTGGAGAAACATACTGGAAAAGGCACTGTTTATGCTGTGAAGGTCTTCCACAAAGATGGAAAAACAAGAGCATCTGCCATGGTTCAATTCACACATGCAGAGTTTGCTGAAATGATGCTGACATTAGCCGGAGATCATCTTCGACGAAACGTGCGGTATGGGAAATCAAATGTGAAAGCTACAGAAATGAAGTTTGACATGGTACCTGATTCACAAACCTTTCAACCTAGCATGGAACTTGTAAAGCTGCACTTTGGATGCCAGATTTCTAAGGAACGGTTTTCTGTGCTTTGGACACTATCCGATGTTTCGGTGAAATTTGGGATGATACTTAAACATTTCTACTTTTTTTTCTCTTATGATTCTGTTGAATATAAGCTAGAAATCTCCTATGACAATGTTCGCCAGATTGAGCTACATAGTCCATGTGATCAACTTGCAAAGTTTCTTCTCATCAAGGTTTGGTTCCCCTGGGAGTATATATTAATCTGCCATGCATCCTTTCTATACTTGCTTTGAATGCTGTTGAAACAGCCTTTGATCTTCCTAAACATAAAGCAATTACTATATTATGTGTGGCTCTTTGGGGGGGAGATTATTAACATTTTTCTCTTCCTTTCCTTCTTTCTCCTGCTAGTTACGCGGTGCCCCTCGGATTTATAAGAAAGGTGTCCCTGTGAAGAACAAGAAAAAGGAAGCTTCTGACAATTACTGGGTTCGAGAAGTTGATTTCACTCCAGCTTGCTGCATTGGGCAATCTTCTGCTATATGTTTGGAGCTTCCACTTAGGTGGATGCTTCCAAATCTAGGCAGCACTTTTGTTCATTATAAAGAAGATGAAGGACGGTTCGTTCTGGAGAGAGGCAACGGTTTCTCCAGTAGCTCAGATCTTGTTCCTATGGTGCGTCCACCCCTAAGCATTAAGTTGCCATATAAAGTCCTGTTCAAGATAAATTCCTTGGTACAGTATGGATGTGTTCCTGGGCAAGCGCTTGATGTCAAATTTTATAAGCTAGTTGATCCTAGTAGAATAAGAATTGAATATATAGAGTGTGCCCTGGACATACTATTTCACTCAAAAGAGTGCTGCTATGAACCCGTGAGTTGGCTTAGAAACCAGTACAAAAAGCACTGGGCAAGCAAGCGAATTGCCAAAACACCTGCTATTTCTTTGGATGATGGGCTGGTGTATGTACATAGGGTTCAAATAACACCATCTAAAGTATATTTCTGTGGTCCAGAGATAAATCATTCGAATCGCCTTTTCCGAAAGTATCCTGAAGATGTTGATAACTTTCTTCGTGTATCTTTCGTTGATGAGGACTTGAGCAAGATGCATTCAGAAGATTTATGTACGCGTTCTACAAAACAAGAAAGGCCAACTAGAGTCCATGAAAGGATACTTTCTATCCTAAAAAATGGCATAGTTATTGGTGAGAAGAAGTTTGAGTTTCTTGCCTTTTCATCAAGTCAATTACGAGGTCATTCTGTGTGGATGTTTGCTTCAAGAAGTGAGCTCACAGCACAAGACATCAGAAACTGGATGGGTGATTTTAAGGAGATTAGAAATGTGGCAAAACATGCTGCCAGGCTTGGTCAGTCTTTCAGCTCTTCCAAGGAGGCTTTTAGTGTTGGTGAGGACGAAGTTGAACTCATTCCCGATGTAGAAATTGAAAGGGATGGAGTTAAGTATTGCTTTTCTGAAGGAATTGGGAAAATATCTGCTGACTTTGCTGCAAGGGTGGCAAGAAAGTTCAAGTTAAGTTGTACTCCATCTGCCTTCCAAATTCGATATGGTGGCTATAAAGGTGTTCTGGCAGTTGATCCAACATTGTCAAAGAACTTGTCATTGAGAAAGAGCATGTGCAAGTACCAATCCAACAACACAACACTAG